TACCTTTGTAATTCTTCACGTGCAACTTGCATATATTAAACTAATTGCAATGGCAGTTATCCCCCTAGCCTCATCGATCTGAATTTTGGGTGCACAACACAATCCTGTGTCACTTTATATTCGTCAGGCCTTCGTGTGAATCCAAACCCAAAGGCCAACAAAGCATTGTTCAGCACACCTTCGGGAGTATAGAAGTTTGCCGATTTTTACAAGCGGTGTCATTATCCTTTTGGCTAAACCGGGAGACTTTCATAAGCTTTGTGGTCCCCATGTCTTCTGTTGTCACCATCTCCCACCCATATGCATAATGCGCATGGGTGGGAGAGAATGACAACACAAGGCACTAGGAACACAAAGTCCATAAAAATCTCCCGAATCAGCCAAAAGGATATCAGCACCACTTCCAAAATTGGCAATCTTGCCACGCTCCCAATTGTGTGTCGAACAACGCTTGTCAGCCTTCAGGTTTGGATTCGTGCCAAGGTCCAAAGCCTATAAAGTTAGACTGGATTGTCCTCCATACAAAATATTCAGAATGACATTGTGAAGGTGGCAACCGGTGTCAGTGCAATCCCTCCTTGGCCACATCCAAGTCCCCTAATGTCTCTAAGGTCTCTCGGTGGAAGCATGCTCTCGCTCTGCCAGATAGTGTGTTTCGGGCTCTCTTTTGCCCGTGCTTGATGGCTGCTCTGTCTGCAGTCCCATCCAAGGTGTGTGCGCCATTTTCGAGGGGGCAAGGAGGCAAGAGTGTTCTAGAACAATCAAACTACATTGCCGCCACTACCAAGCGCTCTTACATGTGGTGGTCCACAATCGTTAAACCTATTTACTATTGATCAAAGTCATTACCATCTCTGGCAAAATGAGTACCACAACCAGTGCTCATTCTTAGACCCCGGGGCCCACCAAATGTACTTACTAATCCCACAGTGGCTCTCTTCAATTAACTGACACCCTGTGTCACTTTCCAAGGGCATTTCTAATGACCCAAATGCGCAAATGAATTGCCTATGCATCCTAGCTAGCTATACACAATGTCACAATAAACATACACCAAAAAGATTTCTCATATTCCATAACAAATTGCCAGTTTTCCGACACATTTACCGTGGCAAATATTACCACACCTCGTTTCAAATCTCCTATGCAGATCATTGATTTTGCCCCTTTGCAACTTGCAAACCCTTGGTATCGATCGAGCATGTGCTGGTTTTCCATTTCAGTTTTCTTCACAAATGGTATATAGTTCAACTGATCCAACTGGTCAGCCAGCCTCTTATGAGCAGCAGGTTTGGCAACTTTCCTATGTGTTGGCACTCTTCTTGTGCATGATATTTGGCACATTTCCCATCTACCTTGCTCACCATCGCCTCGTTGCAAGTCACAGCATTGCAACATATATCACTAACCACAACATGATACCAATAAGTGACTATATAATGTTGCCCATTGCTGTCATCAACGGATGGGCTGGAGGGACATTGGGGGTTTTGGACTGCCATTACCACAATTGCCCAGAGCCACATGCACCAGCCCTTGTCTCATGTGCTGTGGCATGCGAGGCTGGAGTCAACGATTCCGCTCTTGTGCCAGGGCATAGGGAAGTGGGAATCAGCAATTCCTACTCCGTGCCATGGCTCAGATGGCAAAACATAACTGGGACATGCACCACTACAGTACTACACTAGTGTACTAACCCAAGAATCATTTGGGGACAAGGACTGTTCACCACCTGCACATGATGTGCTCTGGGAATGTACGTAATTCCTGAAAACCAAGAAACCCTCTTGCTTTAACAGCTGGTGCCATCTGTCAACTTTGTCCACATCTCTAAATAGCAGGAGTATCAATAGGAATGGGGTGCATGGATAGAGTTGCAATGTATCTCCATAACAATGCAATGAATAACATGGAAGTCATAGTGCCGTATAAGCCAAGTCGGGACACAGAGCCCCCTGCTTAGCACCAATTTGTTGTCAAACATGACAAGCTCATTATAGTGTCAACTCTGATGGGTGCATGCACAATTATTTGGCACAACTGATCAATGAAATCAGTGGGTGATTATGCCTTCAATAGTTGTACACCTTCAGGATCGTACTGCTTCAGGCCTGCTGAATTGCTGAACAGCACGACCTTGTCCTCAAACGTGCGCTTGCAATCCTGCAGCCCCTGTCTCGCCCTGGGCTGCAGCACCTGGCTGTATGGCTCTGTGAGTGTGTTGTCCTTGTCAAAGATGCACCCCTTGAAGCCTGCAGCCCTGACCCTTGCCCAATCCACCAAACTAATGTCTTTGATGGACAAGTGGGGAACACCCAAAGATTGATCGCCCTGGGCACAGCAAAGGGCAGAAGGAATGTGATGAGCACAAAACAAAGCCTGGCAACACTGTACATGCGCTTATTGGGCAATTATGGGGGCATTAAGTTACATTGCAATGTAACGCAATGTCAGCATGCTGCAATTCCTCACATTTCAGCACAGCAGTGCAGTTTGAATTCTTACAGTCCAAACAGCATCCAGACATCAGTGCTGTCAGGTGGAATTGCACTTGGACTGCACTTGTCAGAGCTCAAAAACACTGCCCCTTGCTGCTCTGAGGCGGTAGAAGACACTATTTCACAAATCTTGGATTTTTGCAGCCCTGTGACCATCTGGCTGGATCTACTTCTATTCAGTTTCTGTCTGGCGACCAGCCCCTAATTTTTGAATGAAAAACCATACTGACAGTGTTCACTTCAACACACAGGAGTTAGACTAAACAGAGCTTAAATTCCCACTTGCCAATTGGCAAGTCAAAGGGCAGCAATTACCAAGGAAAGACAAGAACTGGTGTGTGTGGACTGTGATCCTAAGTTCCTGCAGCTCTTTTCATGGCAGGAATGAACAGCGACGCAAAGCAATCTCCCTTCTGCAACAGACCGGCTGAGACTCTTTTACACGAACAAAAGCAGCCACGGCAAGCCCAATGCCGCCGTCGACAACTGTATGCCCATGTATTGCTGTCTGTGGAGAAACAATCAATTTGGATCATCTTGTTGTCAAATGCCTAGCAAACTCACTGAATCAGGATTTGGATGGTGCTCTACTGAAAGGAGGTTTCACATTGAGCAGAGAATAACATAAATTCGCTTCCATCCATCTGGTTGCATCCACTCCGGATCATGGATCTCAAATGTGCACAGGTCGGGGGGCCCATGTGCTGTTCCCAAGGGCAATTCGCGCCATGTGCATAGACTGGGTTTCCATTCCAAGATGGGACAGTTCAAACAAGAGCAATGTCTGCATCAGCTACTTTCTTGGTCAACACAACATGCAAATATTGTTTCCTGCAGTTCTCTCAGGTCGAGTTCGATTTGGCACCTTCTATTGGAATGATGACCTCAACCAGGCCACCATGAAGCACAACACCTCCATCGTGGGCCAGGAAAGTTCATTTCCACCTCCAAACACTGCAGGGACACTCTGGCTCGCTGAGGGACTGGGTCATCAATGCAACCTGCAGCAAGAGGACAGGTTTTCCATCTGTTGACTTTTTGCACTCTTTTTGTGTCAACCGGGCTTTCTGGTTCCTAAGATTTCGGTTTGGGACACAAGGATGGAGTATGTAGGCGTGGCCCTCGATCGGCTTGATGATGCTTGATGCTGCACTACTAGCATGTGGTAAACGTGTCCTACTCATCTGCAAGGAGGGTTTCTGCTAGGGCACCACAAAAGGCTGCTCCCAACTCTGCCCTGAAATATAGAATGCCCGTCCACAACTCACCCGCGCCACCTGGAAGAAAGTCCCGATTCCAGCAGCATTGAAGTTCTGGCCCAGCATGCGCATCGCGCTCAAGCAAAACACTCCCGGCCTCGGCTGCGGTCCGTGATAACGATCCCTTTCTGGCCAACCTGTGGGAATCTAGCAACCAAGGGAATGATTTCAGGACGAAATCAGGGGCTACCAGTCCCCCTTCCAGCACACACAATATGAGACGGCCCTGCAGCATCCCAACGTTTCGAACAGGCTCTCCTCCCTCATCATACCTTGGCTGCAGTGGATACTTTGACGTCGGGAGGTCTCTCCAGACCGGTTTATGGGCACCCTGAGTGCAACCGTACGACCTTCCCCACGCCGCAGGTGCAAGGACTGTATCTTATCGCTTCTGGACAGATGTGAGCAACGGATACGCGCACATTCACTTGCCTGGTGAACCGCACAGGCCACGCACATGGAAGCCATGAAACAATGCCTCCCTCCACACCTTAGAGGTCTGCGTAGTCAGAAAAGGCGCCGCCCCTGTTCGCAGGTAGAGACCCGCCTGCAATCGACCCTGCGGTGGAGCCCTGCCCCAACCTGCCGCCATCCCCGACGGTAGGCCGCGCAGGCTTTTGCCTTGGCGATGCACTTTCTTCAACAAACACCAATCCCAATCCAATCCTTTTACAAGAATTTCTTGCCAGTCCTTGTCGGCGATCCAACTTCTTCACAAACCGGGAAGATGACGTGTAGCGGGCGCTTATCCGGGTTTTACACCTGGGCCATTTGAGCGGGACTCGGAAGGCATATTGGTGCTGGTTGGAGAACAGCGCTCGTCACCATGTTGCGGGGCGACGCTGGAACCGCCCTCGGGCGGTCGCCACCGCTGTCCAGCAGCAGCTGTAGAGCGCTTAAGCCTAAGGTTTGCCCGCAGGGACCTGAGGCCGGCACAGGCATTGATGCCACCGTTCTCCTGTTTTCCTGATTTTGGTCTGCAGGGCCTCAAATGGCATTGGATGGGAACGCTTTGGCTGCTCTGAGCTTCGGCGGAAAATGGGGCTGCAAAACTTTCTTTAGGTTCTCTATTTACCACGCAGCGCAGTGTCAAAACAAGCAGGAATCTGACGTCAGTTGCGTTTGGTGGCATATGTTGCTTTTTTGCAAATGAATTGGGCCAACTTCGCTCATTGGCCAGATATCGAGGCGGACATGTTCGGGTCCGCGCTTGCCTCAACGCTTCACGGCGTGTCGAGAGTGCATGGACGGCTTTGTAAACCGAAGTTTGGATAAAAGGCGGAGGCTGATCCACCTGCCTTGCAAGGTGCGTTGCGAAGTCCCTGAGGACTGTCAGCCGCTTGACTTGAAGCAAAACCATGCCTGTGCGAGTGATGATGCATTGCAGCGTGTGCTATATGCCCAAGGGGGTGCCCATCCTGCAAGCTTTCTGCATTGAAATTGAAAGCAGTATGTCAAAGGCAGCACTCTCTCGCAGGAATGCGGGCCACAAATGCAGACCTTGCAACTCGTGGTGGCAACGTCCCTTGCAGTCAGCAGTGGTATATCACGCTTGCTTTATGACCACACTTGCGCAATATGTACACAGTTGTGTGATTGACAACTGCAAGAGTGGCAGTGCTTGGATAAACAGGGAGTTGGAGAGATCGCCAAAGATCTGATAGTCTTTCTTATTTCAAGAATGCCACAGTTGAAGACCGAAGTCGCAAATCCTGCTGGTCACAGAATGAGGTCGCTTTGCTTTCTCTCTTCTTGACTTGCACCGTTGCCGGTACAGGTACACAAAGAGTTGCAGGACGGGTCAAAGTTGGCAAAAGACCTGAACGAGCTGCATGAAGACCCAGAAACGACAGGCAAAGGTGGCGACCTTGGAAAACCCTATGGTGAAGACTCTCAGGAGGAGGAAGGAGAAGATTCAGCGGGGGTCAGGTAACAGTGGCACTGCTGGTCCATTGTTTCTTGGCCGTCCATTGGGTGTTGCAAGTGTTCCTGAAGTACATGAGTTGTTTAGTGGTTATGGTACCCTTTCCCAAGCCCTCGAGGTTCCCACAGAAGCATTGGTGTAAAGCGTTTATCTTTGCTTCCTGTTTCTTGTGCTGCCTGCAGAGATTTTGTGCCAACATCACAGGGTGGAAAATGTCTTGATATTGTTACCCGAGAATTGGAGGCTCATGCTGAATATTTTCGTCCGTTTACTGCGGGTTTTTGGAATCGAAGGCACTTTGTATCCATTGAATGTATGTTTCAGAACCCGACAAGTGCTACAACATACTCCTAAGTCACAAATTAATTGTCCCGTGCTTGTAAATTGATCGCAAGAACGGTCTCTTGATTACAAAAGGATGTCAGCGTTGGAAAGATCGGGTCCCAAACTCATGGGCAATACGTTTTCAAGAAGTAGCAGCCAGTCCTAACCACTGTGAGAAGCCCCTGAATAAACCCCGTTCCTCATTCCAACAATTGGCAGGAAGATTCCGCATCCCCAGGATACCCCCACAGTTTCCTACTGCTTCCGTGCTTGCTCGTGGCAAAGCAAAGTCGTTGCTGCCATCATGGTGAAGGGCAGCATCCAGCGTGTGGTATTGCGCTTGCCAAACGTGCTCTACCATGTTTGAATCTTATTGCAGAGGGCTATCATCACAGGGTTGATGATGCCTTAGATCTCCATCCTCGATTACCACACACAAGCACATTGCAAAAATGTTGAGTCACCTTTGGTATCCCTTCATTGGATCCTCCACAGGACAGAGCCATGTGCAAATACTCCCACATTGATAAAGGTCTGCCGTTGCATCCTGTTGGATTGGACAGTTCACAGTTCAGTTGCATGGTAGTTCATGCAGTCACTCACTCGTTCACAACTGTTCTGCAGTTCAGCAGATTTCAGATGTTCCTATTGTTGTTCTCCATCACCACAAGTTTTCCGCAGTGGTAGACAATCTTATCTCAATGTTATCCCAACTATCACAGTCGTTCTTACTGTATCTGGGAGGGGAAGAGGTCTTTTTGTGGACTGTGAGCTGGTGGATGTTTGTGCTTGTGGCAGGGCAGCCCTTGCCGCATTAAGGTTCTACAAGTCAGCTATTTCACCGTTGTTGCCTCCATCTTGCCGCTACATTCCCACTTGCTCAGAATATGCGATGGAATCGTACAAGACATACGGTGAGCCTATGGCTGGAAACTGCTACCTGTGGAAACTTCAAGAAGTGATTGCTGGCACCAGGTGCTGGCAACAGCACCTGGTTGCAGCCTTTGCCTTACAGTGGGAGCGTTGCCCATCTACAGTTGTCACTGCAGCATTGTAGCATTGCATCGGTGCTATGCTGGTGTTGAGCACCTATCCTAAGCACCAATGTACACTGTGTCATTGCCCCGTGTGCCAAGTTACGAGCCCACATTCTACACACTGTCCAATGTTGAAAGCATTGTTATGGCCATTAAATGTGATTGACTGAATGTCCAGGTTGCGCCAAAGGCACAGTGCTCACAGCTTGGAGGTTGTCAAGATGCAACCCATTTGGTGAGCACTCTTGGAGCATGGGATCCTGTGTAATTCTTGTTCCTGCGACATCTTGTCCAAGCCCTCAGCCATTCACAAACCAACAAAATGCAATAGCAAAGCATGCTGTTTGCAAAAGTATCGATCAATAGACATGAGCATCAACCTGTGTTTACCCTGTTGCAGGGATTCTGGGCTGTCTTTGGTGTCTCACAAAACAGCCAAGAAGCCTGCAGCAGAATGAACACAATGTAGCTTGCGATGTGTTGTAATGGAGCTTGTGCATTACCAATCTTGTCGCAAGGCTGCTGTTCTCAGACATGCCCTCCACCAGTGGCGTCCGTGAATCATGGATCGAACTGCTCAGACTTATGCAGCTGATGAGGCCAAGCCGGTTCATAGAACATCACGAATTTGTGCTAACGTGCACTGTAACTCAGTCAATGCGTTTCATGCTGATAAGCAGTTTGTGATCCAATATCTCTCCTTTCAATGGCAGATACGGCTACGCCTTTTGTGTAGTCTTGTCTGAAAATTAGCAGCACAAATTTAAATTCGAACCCAACAACAGGAGGCAAGGCCTTCTGCCATCTCAATGCTTCTTGCCAGTTCAGATGCAGACAGCAGTGCAGGCCAAAAACTGACCGACAGCAAATTGTGGCTGTATGTCGACTTTGCAGTGGTAGACTTTCCCTTGCTTTGTGCTTTCAGCATTGGTGGTTGTGATGTTTTTTCCATCCTCTGCGAATGACACCGGCAGATAGCCTATGCAACAACAACCAAAAAATTTAGAAAACTATGACCCGCCCCTCATCTGCAGTTGGGGAGCCTCACAGAGGTCAGCCCTTCGTTGTTGTGCTGCTGCAGAATGCTTGTTGTGTTTCGCTGGAGTGCATGAAACGAATGCTTCGTTTTCTCCGTTGCAGGTGGTAGGGGCTATGATCCCCCCCAGTGGCCACCGCCGGGGCTGGAATGGATTTTTAAGTGAGCACATGTCATCTTGGGCAAACGAAAACTTGAGAAAGTGGGGCCCGTGATGCAGATAGTGCACACCTTGCAATTCGCAGCGCCCTGGAGGAGAACTCTGGTTCCCTTCCAATGGCGGTAGGCGAGCAGCAGCGTTATGGCAGCGCTGTGGTTAAGTGCATTGTACTGCGTAGTACCTCGTGTGGTAGGGGATGTCAATGGCGGCTATACCTGTGTCCATGTTGAGATTAGCTCGTTCGCCTATGACTGACACATTGGATCTGGAGAACAAGGTTTATAAGCGTCGTTATTCGGTGACTCTGGCGCGCTCATATTGTGACATGCGGTAGAGTGGATGCGGGGACGGATTGGGGCATGGATCTAATGGATTTCGTTTCGGAAATGGACCTTCGTACTTGCACGCAGCCAGTACTCTGGCATGACGATGGTGCTCTGGTCTCCAATAAATTGACGTCGCCATGCATTTTGACCTCTGTTGGCACGGTTGCCTTCTGTAGAATGATAGTGTCGTTTGGTGGTGTTCAAGAGGAAAGCCACGGTGTGACGGTATTCGTTTGGACTAATAGGCGCGACGCGCGCACGTTTTTTTTTTGTTTTTGTTTTTTTTTAAGTGTCAGCTTCCCACGGCTCGCGTCGTTGGACTGGGAGTGTAGGATTCAAGCTTTTGCACCATTGAACGTGCTTAATTGCTGTTCCATGCATCGTGTAGTTTTGTAAATTGTGAGCTTCAATTCAGCACGTTGCGAGATTTGTAAATTGTTAACTCAAATTTGAGGCGTTATGAGTTTTGTGAAATGTGAGCTCGAAAAATGAGCATATCGATTGCGGCAATGGCTATGCTTGCGACACTGTGTCAGCACATGAACCTCCGTGGCAATCAGAGAGAGCCGCAGCCATGGCCATGCAACATTCTCCCAAGGTGCCATGTCGAGGCTCCCATCACCACTACTGCCCCATCCGTCACCCGCTCCCTCGTGAAACGCTGCTTTAATTCGTCACAGCAGCGATGCAGCCAAGCCCTTGATTCCATTGTTATGTATCTCCACCAACGCGTCCCTCACGCAGCTGCAGCGCTGGGCCAATTGCAGCAGCACTTGTCCAACCACGGCCTTGGCGCCTTGCCAGGGATCGGCCTCCAGCAGCAGCAAAATGTCCTGCAGGCCCGGGGGAGGCCTGCACGCCTGCAGCGTCACCCAGCACTCCTTTGCCCTCCTTTGTTGCGAGAGGCTGCCGGTGGCGTGCGTCCTGCCGCCTTTCCGACGACAGGAACCACACACAAACTCCGCTGGGCGGCTGAAACCATTCGATGTGCCGTCACTGGCGGTCCAGGCGCCGCTCGGTGCGACAGCCCGGTCGTCCGAGCAGGGGGGTCGTGCAGGCTTGAGAGCCTGCAGAGCGCAAGTCCCCTTCCCTCACCGATTCGTCGTAGCTAAACATTTAGACACAGGATTGCCAATTCGTTGCAGCTGACACTTCAGACACCGGATCCGTGTCGTCTCGACGTACCGCCGTACTGCTTCTCGTCTGGGGCCCTTTGGGACATGCGCACGGGGGGCTGGCCCAGTCCATTCCATCCCAGGGGCCCCGCTCTTCTGCCGGCGCGGAACACTTCTTGATGACGTCCAAGATGGCTGCCATCTGAAGAATGTTGGACTTCGGATCCCCGCCTCGCCTGAGCACGGAGAGGAGAGCCTCCAAGCCTCCGCAGTCCATCAGCGCCTTGACGCCGCGGATGTTGGACAGACAAAGGCACCCCAGAGCGGCAGCAGCGGATTCGAGCAACTCGCGGTCTGCGAGCATTCACAAATTGGTGGCGTTCCCAGCTGGTGATATTCCCAGGAAGTGTCTCGTTGGGCATGCATGTTTTTGCTGCCACACCACGGAGAGTCGCAACGCAGGCGTGACGTCTCCCAATCGCCTCGATCCAGGGGAACAAAGGCAACGGAGGTCATGGCACATGGCGAGGACATTGGCTGGGCTACAAATCTGCCTTGTGTGCTAAGGTCTGTGCCAGCAATTTATGACTGAAAGGCCGAGCTGCCTTTCGGTGCCAACCGTTCTTGCAGGCGATTATGGCGTTGATGTGTGCACCGGTTGGAACAACACATGATTCACCAATAGGACACCAATGCTGTGCTACTCAACAGCTGCGGCTGGTGGCCGGGGGGCGATGTTCTCAGCTGCAACGCTACACCGTCGCCACAAGCTGCTGGTACACCGAGAATGCTCCAATGCTATACCGCAGAACGACTGCAACTGTTGCCTGTCGGCCAGTGAAACTGCCGCCTGAATGACCACCATTTTGCAGCAAAGCTGGCGATATCGCCGAGCAAATGGGAGCGAATGGCCTGCTGTACCGTCGTCCAGTAGTAAGTCCACGAGAAGTGGCATGACGCCCCCAGTGCGGAACCCATCCTGATTGCGTGTCCCCATGACGCTGATGGCGGAGATTGCGTCCGCCACATTAGTCACCAGCCGGCTCCAGGCCGAAGGCCGTTCTCGCCTGAATCTGCATTTTGTCGAATGGACTGACATCGCCTTCAGTATGCAAAGAAGGGCTGGAAGGGCTCCTACGTGACAACCAACTGAACATGGGATTCTTGGTGGCTGTGATATTTCACTGCACATTTCAATACAATCATCTTCGATTAGGATCGAGATGCTCCCATGTCGATATTCGCTTAATTGGCCCCCACCGTTGTTACAGCGATGCAAACAACTCTAACGGATGATGCAGCTGACAGAAATACTGTTCCATTACCAGCCCGCACTCAGTGGCGCATGTGGTTGAATTTGCGGTGTGACCTCTCTCCACTAAAACTCGTCCACGCAAGGTCCTCACACTTTCAGTTTCTTTGAGGTGGCGCACGCTCCACTGCCGGCAAACCCTCAGTTCACATATTTTCTGGGCGTGTCAACGTGGATCCTGCTGACGAAATTACTATGTTAAAACCGTGAATAGTGCTAATCGGACTTAATCATGTGAAGATTGAGGTAAGTTAAGGCGAATTACACTAGGGAAAAAAAGGGCCATATAACACGTGTTCAAACGTGTACAAAGTTTACGGGTTTGTGTTATTTTTGTGTTCTTAGCGTGCAGAACTTTGGTGAAATGTGTTTTATGTGTGATCGCAAAATTGTTATTTGGCCCTGTTTTGCCTAGTGTTAACCTGGCATCGAAGTATGAGGCCGTCTTTATGAAAACGGCTCCATATTTCGATCCCATTTCGAATAGAGCCTGGCGCCAACGCCACATACCGTTTCTGGCAGCCGCCTCTGAGTTCTCGGCATGGGCTTCTACCACCCGCCCAAGAGTTCCAACAGATTCGATCGCAACTGCCAAGTCAGGATCCGAGGGGGTCTCGAATGCGCATGAAGCAACAAGGCGAACGAGATGTTCAATTCCGCCGCATGAGGCCATTTGACCTTGGTTGCAAAAATTCTGGGAGCACACATGCCCCAGTGCGAATGCGGATGCTGCGGACACCTGCAGGCGCCAGAAGTGAAGAGGTCAACAAGTATAAACGGTCCTGCGTCGCGATATCTTTTGGGGTAGATGTCGCGCCAATTAGTTCACGGTATTCCATTCCTTCAACGAAGTACATACTTGGATTCACTTCGACTGCATGTTTTGATTTTCAGAATGCTATATGTTGCCTTCTTAGGACAATGTCGGTCCCTTTTGCTGGGCAAGCAAAGCAAAACGTCACTCGACATGAGCTGTCAAGAGCATGAGTCATGGCTATTGTCAGGGGCATGAGACATGCCCACGACAGAGCAAAACTCGTGGCCACACCACATGTAACCGTCCGCATGCAATGCTTCCACGGTGAGTAGTTCTCCGTTGCGCAAGCCGGATATTGGGCGAGAAATCTACTGTGGACCGATCACTTGGTGGACACGCCCGGTCCAGGCGCTCCTGTATTGCACGAGTTGGGCTTTAAGTTCCGTCTTTCGCCAACCTGATTCAGTTTCCCAGCTCGCAGGAGCTGCACCAGAGACGGGATCGCCCCACAACGCCGCGCCCTCTCCTGGTTCTCCTCGTGCTCCCTACATATGGACCCCAGGGCCCAGGCGGAAGCGGCGGCGATTGGGGCATCCGCGCCCATGCCCAGGAGCGCCGACAGTCCCTCCACGGCGCCCTCCCGCCCTGCCAGGTGCCTCGCCTCCCTGCCGCTGTGGGCCAAAACTCCCAGGGCCTTGACCGAAGCTTCTCGGGTCGCGCCATCTATCTCAGACTCTAACGCACTATCCGCTCCAGTGTCCAAGAAGCGCACCAGGCGAGACACGGAGCTACCTTCGGCCGACTGGTGACTCTCGGCTTGAGCGAGGGCTGAAACGGCCGCCAAGGCTGCAATGGTCTGGTCGAGGTTGATTCGGCCGCCCGCGTCTTGGGAGGCTGCCGCAATGTGGATCGACATGGAGAGGTGGTGGCGGAGGCGGGTGGCCCATCCGGGGGGCTCCCAAGGCACCTCATTGCATTCGTGGATGGTCGGCGCCGTGTGGGAGATCAGGCGCAGGAGATGGGGTCGGATTGGGTGACTTTGAGCCAGCCCAGGGAGAATTTCCGCCGCCAATTTGATGACACCTGCGGAAGCATTTGCACATCTCCTCGTCTAACAGGATGTAAATTCATTTGCGCCAACACAGCACTTGTAAACATTGCCAGATTTCTGCGACAAGAGTTGCCCACAGACGCACTTTTCGCACCAGGACATGAATGGCTGTACGATAATGCGCACGCACGTGTCTGGGGTATGCCTGAATCCATTTAGTGCATGTTTACCTATGCCATGTGTACATGCTCAAGTGCAGGCGGACGTACGTTAAGTTGATGGTGAAAGTTACGCCCAAATTCTGTCAGCTGATCACGTTCTACATGCTCTCCCGGATGTGGATGTCTACGAGCTTGCGAGGAAAGCCAAACTCATGTCTGAGGTTTCTCTAATGGCACTAGGAAAAAAAGCGTCAAATAACACTTCTGCGAACACACATAAAACA